GTTTTTCATTTTTTTCTCAAAAACTAAGAGTTGTCCAGAAAAGGGAGTAATATATTTGAAATCCTCATAAAATTCTGAATCGAATGATGTATGCTGTTTTCTTGTAAACCACCCCCAAGAAAATCGACTCGATTTGCTATGAATTATCAGAACTACCAGAATTATCAGTATTTTAGAATTACCATTATGTTGGAATCATCAGAATTATCGATACTCTAGAATTATGATAATCATCAGAATCACGAAAATAATCGGAATTTCAGAACAATGAGAATTTTAGAATTGCCAGAATTTTAAAATTATAGCGATTTTAGAATTATCGAAATTCTGGAAGAACGAGAATGCTGGACTGATTAGAATTTAGGAATAATCAGAATTGCAGAATAACAAGAATCACGGAAATTTCGGAAGAATTAGAATTTCAAACAGTTGGAGATTCAGACTTTAGGGGTGTAGGTGTGGGTGTCAGTGCAGATGTGTGGCGATAGGAAGATAAATACCAATGGTCACGTCTACAGTCACACTCACACTTTCAGAACCTAAAACCAAGATTGCTCTAAATTCTTATTCTTATCATTATACTAAGATTCCGATTATTTTTGTTATTCTGCAATTCTGATTATTCCGGTCATTCGAAAACTTTGATTATTCTAAAATGCTGATTATTCCAGATTTCTCATAATTCAAAATTTTCAATAATTCTAAAATTCTGATAATTCCAGAATTCTGATTATTCCAAAATTCCAATAATTCTAAAATTTTGATAATTCCACAATTATGATAATTCCAATATTCTGCTTAACGTCATATTAACGTGGCTAAAATTTGTGTATGATAAAGGAATAATTCAGAATTTTGGAAGTTTGACTCTGATGTTTCTACTACAGATCTTTTACAAAAATAAATACCAACTACTTGATTATCTTTATCAATAAAAGTGAAATACATCTTATGTATTGTGATAATTTGTCTCACCTTCGATTAAATCGATATATTGTAAAATATTATTGAATAGAAAAAAAAAGGGTTGTTGTACCGAATGCTGAATTAGTTATAGTTTGCAATAGATGCTATCTGTTCAAATCAGGAGCGTTTTTTTCCGTTCAATTTATTGTGTCATTAAAGGTTCGCATGTTAGAAGAAGTGAAAAGAAAAATTAGAAAATAATACGAGGAAATACGTACATAATTCAATATTCATACGTCAGTTTAGATGTGTAGACAAGAAAATATATGTACATACATATATAAGAAAAGAACGAGATGGTAAAAACAAGAACAGAAAAAAAGAAGAGAGTATGGATGTTAGTGACATCATTTGTCGAGATATTTAACCAGACCACAGCATGTTAGACTCGATATTATTATTGGCCTCTAGTCTATCTAATTATTTTTCTGCACAGCATGAATCGAATGCTTATTTGTTATCTTGTCATTTCAATGTTTAGATGTTATACAGTAGCTAATTACTTTTGTAATTTACTCCATAGAAATAATTCTTATATAGGTAAATCCGTGGAGTTTCTACCATTTTTATGGGAAAAAAGATTTATTTTTCGGTTTTGCCCTTCCTGATAAATGTAAGATCGTCGAAAACAGTATGTGCACTAAAAGAATTTTTTTTTGTGCGTAAAGTTTGGAAAACTAACTCATTATTTGGGAACAACTCGGCTTTTATACCGATATATCTTCAATTTAAAACTGGAAACTTTTACCATACAAGCCGAGTTGTTTCTAAATAATGAGTTAATTCTCCAAACTTTGCCCGTAAGAAAAAATTTTCTTTCGACTCACCAACCATTTTCAACGATGTTACACATCTATCTAGAAGGACAAAATCGAAAAGTAAATTTTTTTAGAATCATTGGCACAGGATCTCATTTTTCCCAAAAAGTAGTAAAAACCGTATAGATTCACCCATATAGCTTGAGGGTATGTGTGGCTGTAGGTGTGGGTATCGGTCACAATGGGCAGCCAGGCGATAAAATCGATTTTCGAACCCATAGTGTAGCTAGCATTGAAGCTACTATGGTCCTGCATTTAAGTGCATCTTGGATGCCGCCCTACAGCGAGTATCTAGTGAGCAGTAGTTACCACAGATTGCGTAAAATAAGTGGATATCATTAACGAGATCGTATAGGTAACATGTATGTTACCAATGAGGGATCTAGCTATATTCTTTAGTTATTATATAGTTATACAGTGTTATGTATTTAATATATATTACAGGCATAGGGGTGCACCAAAACCATTTTTATGTACATAAAGGTTGTAAATTTTCGTTACGAGAACCCTCCAAAACCAACCAAAACTTCGCGTCAATTATAACCAGTTTTGTTCGTTCCACCTGATACCCGTAGAAGAGGCACTAAAACTCAGCACTTGTTCTTTTGGTTTTGGTATCTCTTCTGCGGATATCAGGTAGAATGAACAAAACTGGTTATAGTTGACACGAAGTTTTGGTTGGTTTTGGAGGATCTCGTAACGAAAATTTACAACCTTTATGTGCATAAAAATGGTTTTGGTGTGCCTCTATATAGACCGTTCAAACTTTCTGAAGTTGGTTAGGCTATAATAAGATCAAAAACTAATCATCAATATAGTGAACAATAGTCACTGATTCATAATGCAGTTCATTTGCTGGAGTTTAACCCTTTGGTTACCGGCAAAAGAAAAACAGATATAAAATAGAATGGCTTACACGACGAGCATTTTTGTTTCTTATCGCAGGAGTCTAGCATGAGCTATAGCAGAATGACGATATAGCAAGTTCTTGCTACTTGACAGTTACTTTTAAACAAATGCTTCTAGAAAAGCTGTTAGCGCAATTTTCGCGGGATCAAAATGTGAAACACAATTGAACTGCTTACTTACATTATAAATGAGGAAATACTATAGTGTCTGTCACGTCTGTGACGCTTCGCTACTAAAATGTCTGTCACGTCTCTGGAGGTAGACATTGGAGTGGGTGCTAATTTCTACCCCTATATATTTCAACGCTCCTTTTAGATCGTGTTTCACAAAATATACACAATAAGTAATCACTTCATGTCATGATCAAGGTCATGACGCATATATGCGTCGTCGGTAACTAATGGGTTAAATCCAAGTTTTAATTTATCATTTGATAGAACACTTTATGCTCTATCTTTAGTAGATGCACAAGAATGCTCCATTGCATCTTTGTGGAGATATTTGATATTTACGGCATTGTATGGTACAACGTCGTGATCGTTTTCAACTTCACCTGAAGTACAAACTTTCGAATTTCTAATTGAAATTTTGCGCAGAGAAGGGTCTCCATGAGACTAGTTAATTCTGAAAGTTTCAAATTTCTTGGTTGTTTAGCATTTTATGCTTTAAGTGATGTGAAAAAGAATATTTTTTCTTATACTCGTATATAAGGATAAAACGAACCCCAAAACCAAAACGTTCAGAATAAACTTGTTTCATAAGACCTTTCTCTGCACAAAGTTTCAAGTCAAAATTTGAAAGCTGATTTTTCAGGCACATCTGAGAAGGGCCATGGCGTTTTGCTAAAAAATGCCATAAAAACTAAATATCTCGGCAGACATAAACGAGGAGCACGAACTGTTTTCATGATGTTCATAGCTTATTAAAGTCTATCTAATGTACATAGTCTTGACCCAAAAGCGATTTGATAACTGGAAATTGCTTCTAACTCCCTTGTTCTGTCCACTGTATGAGTGAGGGATGACTGGGTGACTGCGAATAATCTGTCCATATCACATCCACATTTTTATTGTATAGATTGTTTGCTGGTTCGTGTTGTAGAGTCATAATGAATATTTTACTTAATAACATCAATCTTTATAATTAATGGAAATTAATGAATCAATATTAAATCATTTATTTCTTCCACATTATCTATCACCTTCGGCTGATGATGATTTTTTAATTCAACATAATCATCAAAATGAACATAAGATACTGGAATGTATGCAAAAATATTTGAATTTTTCCGAATTCATTAACGCAACGAATGTATTGCCAGTATTTTGCATCCTTAGACATTGCATTGAAAGATGGTGTATCTTACAAAATCCTCAAAACTTGTCTGTATCAAAAATACAATCTACTATTGAACAATTACCACCCGAAAGTTTTCTTCCTCTTTATTTTCATGCTCAGAATGCTGCAATTTTGATTGAAATAGATGAAACTAACAGTAATCAACCGTTGATCTCAGCATGGCAAGTCTTATTACCGAGTGAAACTATAACTTCTTCTCTTACATCGCATCTTTCCTGTTTTCCTGTAACGACATACAGACTGGACGATCGTTGTCAATTGAGCACCAAAGTTCATTGTGAATTGTTGGCAGATTTCATGTACAACACCATTGAATATTCCAAATCTTACAAATCATCTCGTGAACTTAATGAAATACGCGAAGTACCGAAATCACATTATGTATGTCAATGGTGGATTCAACACTTCGACAGAATAAAAATCGAAACTAATACTAATTTATCTGTTCAATTTACGAAAAAACATCGCGATCAGATTCGATGGAACCATACACTATTACCTTTTCGACGTTCTGGTCTATGGATGACTATTAAAGTAGTTTTTCATACTATTTTAACCAAACGCTTAGGAAACATTGGTACAATCGTGTACAAATTATTGATCACCCATTTTCTTACCTATATTATTTATACGAGAAAAAATTCGACTGATTTCCATATATCTACTGATTTATTAGTTCATTGCATTCGAAAAATTGCACGCAGACTAAATAAAATTAAATGTTTGTTAACATGTTTAGAGACGAACGATATATTTACATGGATCCAGCATACCAAACAACAAATAGAACTAAAAATTGATCAATTTTTTCCAAAATCAAATTGTCAAAACTTTATTAAAATGACCAAAGAAAAGAATCAAAGAGTATCAATGGACAATTTAAAACTAGATGACGCAGAGATGTATCAACATTCGTGTCAAAAATTAAAAGATTATTTGAACAATCAGATGTTGAGTGAAACATGTGCACATTTTTCAGATGTCAACAAGAATGATGATCACGTTGATGTCAATCAAGTGGATTACATACCTTCCATTGAAAAGTTAACAAAAACGTGCAATTATTCTATTGAAATAGCTTTGATTCGTGTAGAACTTTGGATTAGATCACGTTTAAAGCAATGGATCAACCACCTTTCCGAATCAGTAAATGGAACAAATCGATTTGAAATTTTATTATGTTTCTATGAGGAATATCAGAGTATAGCCTTAAATCATTATTGGTCCGAAAAGGGTCTAACAGATCCGATAGGTTATAGTCGATTTATATTAACAGCTTTGACGATTATACGTTCTATGCATCAAAAATTATGTAATGATTCAAGATTTGAACGACTGAAATTACATTCTATTGATATTCCCAATCTTATGAAGCTGTTCGAATTTTTTATTTTACCAAATCGTGAAGATATGATTGAAACGCGTGATCTTTACAATTATTTTCATCAATTCAATAATAAATTATATCCGGATCTTTTGACAAATATACATTGTTTTAATGCATTTGGTGTATATTATGCTGGTCAATCGTCAGCGATGAATGAGAGTATACAGGAAATTAGAGTTCAGATTGAACAAGACAAGCAAAACAAAATAGACGAAGTGAACAAAAAGAAGCAAAGATATATGGAACTAATAACTATAGTAAATACTGATTCTTGCGAATGTAATGTCCACGGTCAAAATAATCGATGTCATCGATGTGAAATTCAAACAGAAGCTAACAACATTAAAGCAGAAATCTATGAATGTCCATTACCATCCAGTCTGGAAGGTACATTAGCCGTTATTTTTGAATTACAAATGCCAATTGAAATCCGATGTTATAGAGATATTCTCTGGCAGTTTGTTAATCGTCCTAATCCAAATCTAAAAAATGATATGTATGAATGGTTAAGTGATCGTGTTCCTTACCATAATAAAATATTAAGACCGTACTATACTGGTTCTCATGACTATAAAGTAAAATTAGTGTCGTCGACAAAATCCATGAAGCAAAGTCACTATTCTACTCTACCAATTGCATCTGCATCTGTCGAAGACTTTTTATTTGAAAATGGTTTGAAAGTGCAAATTTCTCCAATAAAACCAATTAAATTTGAGAATGAATGCCATATATTAACAACTCAACTTGATCATCCAGATTACAAACAGTTACAATTCACTATTGAGAGTACACAGTTCGTACAAAATCGTGTTATTGCTCAACTATCCGATTGTCCATTACAAATGAATCCAATGCAGTTTGTGGAATTTGGTTCATTTCGATCAGGTGATCGTTTACAATGGTGGAACCTATTGATGATTTTTGAAATGAATTCTTTACCTATTGCTGAAGAAAGTGTAGCAATATTAATTATACATTCTATGTTACAATATGGACCATTAACTGCCGACACTGATGATTTATCTCATCACTGGTGTTCAAATTCACATGAACAACTATTGCAAGATTATTTTGTTGATGAATTGATTTCGAGATTAGATCATCATTTGGATGAGTGTAAATTAAATTGGCAAAATGAATTAGTATTACTGGTTATCACGATGATTACTATGAGAGTATTTACAATTTGTAATTCAACAAAAATCAATAAAGTCGCTGATTTGGCACTAAAATGTCGTCGAATTGGTATACAATGGATTAATCTCATTTCAAAAAGTATTCAAACTATATCTTCATCAGTTTTTGACGAGATAGAAAATCTTCGTCTTAAGATGATCAATATTGGTATTTCGTGTCTCTTAACCTTTTCAACTCATCATGGTCGAATCAAACATTTATTATCATCCAATGAACATATCATATCATTACTCAAAGCAGCAACAACTATTCACGATAATATTATTTTAAGTAATAATCAGTCAAAGATGAGTATTTTCATGAGAAATATAATGAGATTTAGTGAACATGTTCTAGTAATGATACAGCCAACCGTTGCCAGAGTTCTCAAACAAACATCATATCAAAGTTTAAATGAATTTACAGCAATCTATTGGTCAGTCATCAAAAGCGGACATACGATGAAAGAACAATGGAAGAAACGAAAAATGGATATCTACGATGGATGGTACGATTGTTGCTATGAATCAAAGTGCATATCAATAGATTGTATTAAAGGAAATTTTTTAATCAATAATATGGGCATAGGTTTTTTACATGAAAAAATTACCTCTAATGAATTATTTGTACGTGTATTTGGTAATCAGATTTTTGAAGTTCAAGCAGTCGATCTATCGAATACTTATATTACTAAATACTTGTATCATGGTGCTGAAAGAGTTCAATATGAATTTCATTTAAATGATGAAACAAAATGTTTGACAATTACAGAACGACATATACGAACCAAAAAAGTGTTTCAATTGATTCCTCATAATTGTTTTGAAACAGAGCTACCAGATGCTTTTGTTTCCAATTACAGTCATTGGTGGAATCCAAAAGATCAGAAAATTGAATTTCGATCGGTTCATTTTAAAGATCCAGAATTTTTAAATGACAAATCCTATGTGCTATCATTAAAAACAGGATACCTTATGTCTGCTAAAGTAAAGGATACGCAAACTTTAGTTAATCAATCATCAACATTCTTTCACAATTTATTTAACTGGTATTTCATTCGTCTTGATGATGCGCCTTATGTCTATATGATGAAAGAAAATTCAGCTTGGAAGAACAATATCATTCACATTCATTTATCTCGTTTAGGAATTGCTTTTCAATACGATGCTAGAAATAAAATCATTACATCTCGTGAATATTCAAACATGTGTATCGACCAAAATCAATGGTTAGGTACATTAACGGGATTGAAGTCTGGCCTTGTTCTATCACCATCATTCGTAAACAATCAGAGAGTCACACATTATCTATATCGAAAATTGATCGTACCGTTCGGAGAAATTCATAGCACAGAGACTTCGTACACTGACTATCAAACCATTACGATACAACGACCACCATCGATGTCATTTTCTCATCAATATTTTGTATTTATTATGAACGATCGATTAAAAATTCTTCAATCAACCGATAGTCCAACTGGTTGGCTTTATTTAGCATTGTTACATGCGATGACTTCTCATCCCTTGCCTGATCAATATACTCAAATGACTGGAATGGAGCGTGCCTTTCAACTATTAAAATTAGCTGGTTGTTGGTCAGATCAACCTTTCGATACTCTTTGTCTAAATATTCTAGCTCAAATTGCCGCTATTTCGCCAAGAGTAAATTATTATCCCGAAAATCTCACTTGTATGGTAAAAATTGACTGGAATTCGAATGGTATACCTTATTCAATGCAACATTTTGGTTATTATTTGATAGCAAAAAAACTAATCGATACTAGTCAACAAATGTATTTTATGTATCCATCGTTTATCCGCAATGAAATACCAGAAATATTCGTAGGAACATCATACAATGAAAGATTGTTAACAAAACTATATTGGGATTATCGTGATTCATACAATCCTCTGGCTCGATTATCAGCAGAAATGAATACCGATATCTTGCGTGCTAGTTCAGTAAGTTTGTATCGTCCAACATGGAAGCATTGTTCTCATGCGATTAACGACAGTACGGTTTGTCTTGTCAACGATTTGTATGCTAATGGTAATGTAAATCTTATAGACTGTTCACAACAGCATTGGTTACCATTATCTAAATGGCTGGCAAATGATCATCAGTTGAAAAATATATGGATTGGTTTATTAAAATTAGCTAATTGTATCACGACATCAACAAATGGAAATAACAAAGATGAAAGAGAACGATTTGAAAAGTTGATAGACTTTCTTCATTACATTTTTGACGAACATTGGGATAATTCGTTTTATTTGGAAATGCTTAGAACAACGTTGAAAATGCCTACGACAATGTCGACATTTGCCACATATCCTTCATTTATTAAATATATTAACATCGAAGAAACTTCATTTATAAAGGAACGTATCAAGTTACCACGTAAATATGAACTAAACAAACGAAATCAAATTCTAGCACAAATCGAAAATTGTTTCTCCCGCGGTTCAAATTATGAAAACAACAGCAAAAAACGGAAAAAGTCTACTGAAGTAACTCAAATCAATCAGTTATTAACATCATGGCATAATAACAGAAAACTTCGTTCGTTTTTAGAATTCACTCAAAATCAATTCTGTTCTATTACAACAGAACAGTTTCCTATCAAATTATCATATTCTCCTCAACAATTTACAATTGAATCAATTGAAGATCATCATCAAATACAAGTTAAACCCACAGATATATTAATCGATCAAGAACTCTTACAAATTGCTGACGAAAAATTTCATCGTTCTTATTCACATCACTTCAAAGAACAACTAGTAACTTTTTCAACAGTTAATCGACAAAATGAATTTCCACAGGAGATTTTTTCTTCTGCCAATGATCAGGATAGTCCGTTTAGTAATATTTCGAATTATTTTAAAAATCAATTAGCTGAAAGTTGGAGTAAACTTTCGTTAAACGAACAAACAGAAATAGAAGATCCTCTAATTGAAGAAATTATTGAACTTCACAATTCTTTTCAACAAAAATCTCGAAAACTTTGGAATGAATTAGTAGAATCTATTATGATACCTACTGAACAACTATTCAAAACAGGTTTGATCTCACGAATTACACCTACAACTCTCATTTCTTACTTCCAACAAAAAATAACAACACTTGATGTAACCACTGCTCAACCAACATTACTAGGTGGTATTCTTGTCTATTGGACATTAGAACAACAACTAGAGAGAGCTTTGCATTTTGCTATTCATAACAAATGGGAAGATTTCACTAAAGAAATATCAAATACACCCCATTCAAATTGGATACCATCTGAACATGTTTCATGGCTAATCTTAGAACTAGAAATGAATATAACTATTCGAGCAATTCAGATAAACGTAGCACGTCATCTGATGGAACCCAAAATGACTAGCAAAGATGATACTAAAATGAAAACTATAGTAATGCAAATGAATATGGGCGAAGGAAAAACATCCGTCATTCTGCCTATGTTAGCACTTAGTCTATGTTCATCTCCTTCATGTCTAGTTCGTATTATAGTACTGAAATCATTATTTTCAATGAATTATCAATCATTAAGATCTAAATTAGGTGGTTTATTGAATCGACGTGTTTTTCCATTTTTATGTCGTCGGGATATAAATTTTACCGAACGACGACTAGATCAAATTTCCATTCGTCTTGCTCAAGCTATACGTAATTGTGATATCATACTAACATCACCAGAAGATATTCTATCATTTGAATTACTAACTATTGATAAATGTCGACGACATGAATTTCGTATCGCTCGTTCTATGTTAACACTTCAACGCTTATTGAAAAACTATACTCGTGATGTATTGGATGAATCCGATGAAATTTTACATGTTAAATATCAATTGATTTATACAGTCGGTGATCAACAACAAGTCGATGGAGGTGCAGAAAGATGGTTAATGATTCAAACAATACTTGATTTAGTTAAAAAATATGCTGCAGATATTTCAACAAATTTTCCTAAAGAAGTATGTTATCAATCATCTGAACGAAAAAGTAGTTTTCCACAATTTCGTTTACACTCAGATAAACCGTTCTCATTACTAGCCAAAAAGATTACTAATGATTGGATCAACAATGGAAATTATCGACATGTAGATAAACAAATAATCTTGTCGTTCATCCTAGAAAGAAATTCATCAGTTGACGATCTAGTTAAGAAATTTACATTTCATGATATTCAATTATTTCTCATCATGCGTGGTTTATTCTCATCAGAAGTGTTGTTAGTTGCTTTAAAACAACGATATCGAGTTAATTATGGTATTAATACAGATCCATATTTTAATCGTTTAATGTCTGTACCATTTCGTGCAAAGGATGTTGTTGCTGACAGAACAGAATTTGGTCATCCTGATGTTGCATTCGTATTAACACAACTCTCCTATTATTATTCTGGTTTAAATGATCAACAATTGATTCAATGTTTTAATCGTCTAAATAACGAAGAAACTGATCCGATATCAATTTACCATCAATGGCTTTCATACGACGATGATTATGATATACCGACTAGCATTCGACAATGGAAAGGAGTTAATTTAAAAGATTATCAACAAAGAATTCAAGATCTCTTTCCAACATTTCGATACAATATGTTAGTTATTAATTATTTTCTAAATTATTTTGTATATCCTCGAGAAGCAAAACAATTTCGACATAAATTAATTTCATCACCATGGGATTTATCTTCACCGGATCGATCAAAACTTATAACTGGTTTTAGTGGAACGAATGATACACAATTGCTACTTCCTACTCATATTCGTCAATATAATTTGCCTGAACTTCAGAAAACTGATGCTATTGTTGTTAATAATTTATTACAACCTGAAAATGAACATTATCAATCATTACCAATGAATGCTAGTTCAAACGAAATTTTACATCAAATTATAAATTACAAAGACACGATTAACGTTATTTTAGATGTTGGAGCATTGTTCATTGATAAAACAAATCAAGATATTGCTATTCAATGGTTAAATTTATCCGATAAGAATACTGTTGATTATGTTGTTTATTTTGATTCTGATTCAGTATTTGTTTGTAATCGTCAATACCATCATCATCGTTTTGAAACATCTCCAGCAAGTGAACGATTAGATCATTGTATTTTTTATATAGATGAAATTCACACACGAGGAACGGATTTTAAATTTCCATGTAAATTTAAAGCTGCTGTAACACTTGGAAACGGTTTAACAAAAGATCGTTTTGTTCAAGCATGTATGCGAATGAGAAAATTAGGAAATGGTCATTCATTGACATTTTGGAGTTCATATGAAGTACATCAACAGATTATAACATCAAGAACATATTCATTCGATCAAAATCAAGAAGAAGGAAATGTTCCTCATCTCATTGATATTCTTCGTTGGGTATATAGTAATACGATCCAATCGACTTGGGAAGGATTACAACATTGGGCGATACAAAGTTTAAGTTTTCAACGAAAACTAAATGCATTTTGGATTATTAATTGGAAAAATCAACAACAATTGTTTACAGATATAATGATAAAAGACTTAGCTAGAGAATGTTTAGAATCGGAAATGATCAAATTAATACAAATGTACGGTACATCTAAAGTATCACAAACAATAGAGAAAATTTATTTGGCTCATTATCAACAATGTAAACATCATTTGTCATCAGAAATTCATTATGCTGTATTAAAACGATTGCAAGATTATGGTGGATCAAAACAATGTCTATCACAATTGTTAGATGTAGAACAACAACGAGAATTTGAACAAGAACTTGAACAAGAATTAGAAGAAGAACGACAATTGACACGTCCTGTACATGCCACGCCATGTGAACCTAAGCTACACAATGAAATTAAGAAATTATGCGATATGGATAGAACTATGTTGAATTTAGCACAGTTTCCTGATGTATTTCAGCATTTACCAGAAGCCTTCAAGAACACCACATTTGCGAATGAATGTCAACCAGATGCATGGCAGCGAAACTTCTGGATATCGACGGAATTTCAACAAGTAGTTCAGACTCAAGGAGAATCATTAGATCTCTTTCTACGTCCTCCACGATGGATTGTAGTTTATCGAAATCAACATATTATATTTGTCAGTGCTTTTGAAGCTAATTGGTTAATTAGACATTTGCAATCTAGTATATCATCGATCACTACATTACGTTTGCTGTTACCTCGTACGAAACGAGGTCAATCAATCTTTGTCAATACTCCTAGACTAACAATTCCTCCGTCGATTGCATCGTCTGAGAGTACTGCCATGTATGTTATACCAATAAAACAGTTAGTCCAATTATTTATCTTTAATGGTACTCTTTACTTTGAAACAGTTGTTGAACAAACAGCTTATTGTCAATGTTTAAGTTTATGTCCTAAACCTCGAACAGCTGCAGAAGAAAAAGCTTTTGAAAAGAATTGGATTGCTGTTGATGGATTTGTAGAAAATCCAAAGTATCGTCGTCGTTTGGAAATTTATCAAACTCGGATCGATTGTAATCCACTAGCATTCGTTCGGCGACTGATTGAAAATCGAAATAGTACACATGTATTGAGAATGTCGCATGTTGGTAGTATTGTTCTCAATTCATTCAAACTTATGTAAATTATACTTAAATACCATTGACGTTAAAAACACAGGGTGTGAGTGTGGGTTGTGGGTGCGGGTGAGTGTGGGGTGTGGGTGTGAGGTGTGGGTGTGCGTGTGGGTGGGTGTGGGTGTGTGAGGGAGGGTGTGGGTGGGTGTGGGGTGTGAATGTGGGTGGGTGGTGTGGGTGGGTGTGGGATGGGTGTGTGGGGTGTGTGTGGGTATGGGTGGGGTGGGTGTCGGTGTCATGTCTCTCTTCACTCACACCCACACCCGCACCCCACACCCACCCACCCACACCCACACCTTCTTCAAACAAGAATACTAATCATTCTCGACGTAATATAAATTGTACTCTACTTCACACATTTCAGTGTGTCTTGTGATTCTACAGTGTCTTGAAAATTGAAGAATGCAAAGAAAAAATTTGTCATAAATCGCTTGTTCTAACAGTCGCGAAGACATTTTTTTGATAAGTTATTAAAATATATCTTTGAGTGAAATTATTTCTGTGATATTTTGACTTTTCATCAAGCAATATTATGATTTAAGATCAATAATGAGTAAAACGAGTGCATCAACCATTTCTAATTTCTTCAATTTATTTCTGAAAGATTGTGAGTGTTTCACACTGATTTTCAGATAATTATCAACAGAAATCATGAGTAAAAAGTGCAAAAGGTACGTTATTTATTGCACAAATATTATTCGCTTTTTTAAATAGTGCACTGCAAAAGCAAATGTTTATACTCTCAGATTGCAATTTTAAAGAAAAGAAAAGAACACGAGATAAAGAAAATGAAAGTTGTAAACATAAAACGAACTTTTCATGTCCTTGGCTTATTGTTTTGTTGATAAATGACTGAAGCTCAGTTCGAAATATTCATATGTTTTTAGAAATAAATTTTAAACAAATAAAAATGATCGTTGAATTCTTATTGCTCATTATTAATCTATTAAAGAAATCTTTACTTAAACAAAATTCATACAGCTGGAGCGAATATAATGAAATAATCACATTATTGCACTAAGTTGTAGTATTGTTGTGCGTCTTCTACTTTCTTTTTCTGTATTTACGCAGTGAGACACTGTTGTTTTTTTATACGTGCTGATTACGACTGCACCATAAAGAACAGAGAAAACGATGGTTTAATAAGGCAACGTCAATAAATAAGACGTGTTTTTTTGGTTTTATGCATCGAATCGTCGAATGTAATGCAGCATGTGCGTCGCAATATTAAGCACAACAACAAGATGCTTGTCGTTAAACATTATTTTATGGTCAGACTTTTAATCAATAATTTTCATCGTGGAAGATCATTTACATTTAGATGCTAACATTAGCTTCTGTTTGACACATTTTAATATGGTTGGTGTTTGTGTTGAGGCGACGATGATAGGAAATCAATGTTATTTATAGTCAAAATATGGGATCGTCATAGTTTCCGAGCCTTAGAGACCCAAGTCTAAGACCAGCACCTGAGATTTTGTATCATTAATCTATATCCCTTTCTCAGACTTGTTTCCGCTTAGCAAATTTTCTTATTAGAGATGCTTATTAAAATATTTTCCCGACCCACTCAGCCGCGATGACGATCTGTATTCTGAATAAAATTACATTGTTTTGCTCGTCGATCACTTTTCCACACGCACAAATATATGCATTCAATAAAAACTCAATATCTCCAACAGCAAAAACATTGCAATCAACCGCTGAAAAATAACAACGACCTTGAAGTGATGTGACGATGTGTACCATTGCAAATTGTTTGGCTGCATCATTATTTGAAGTCGACAAGTTGGCCTACGGGTCTTCTATCGAATGAGATCAATACGAAAATATCACCATGTTAATTATTGCTTTGTCATAGAAATAGACACCTAGTTTGAGTCCTATCGTCGATTCTCTAAGAAAACTTTACTCCGATCCGACCATAAACTCAAGTATTTTAGACCTCCTAGTCCTCCAAGAAGACCACCATGACCAGACCCGACCCATGTCTCAATTTGTTGAGAAAGCCACAAACTCAATAACTCCAAGAAACCCTCACAAATGATCTAAAAACCTTATGCATTGTTTTATTACATATGAATCAACAGCCATCATTTCGTCTCACTAATACGAAAATTCAGATCAAGGAATTCGACAGTACTGAAGAATGCAAATATTGGATTCAAGCAAATGTTTCATTTACCATTTTTCTGATAATTTCAATGCATAATCTTGTCGATATGCGAACAGTAGCGGAGTTAGAATCTGTTAATGCAGTCTACATTGTCACTGATACCTTCTCGATTGAGCAAATCAAAACAATGTCTATCTATTCCAACTTGAGTGGTGTATTTTTTCTCAATGAAGACCTACTCGAACAATTAACAGAAGATATTTGCTTTTATCTTCAAAGTCGCTATCACAAGCCATCCATCAGTATCTTTAACTTCCGTCCGAATATTCTGGATAATCTAACTGAATATGGTATGAATTTTCTCTCTTTTCAACTATTCACTGATATTCTTTCGCAAATACCGCCTCAAGCAACTGCAGCATCAAGCGAGGATAGGCTATTATCTCGATTAGTCACGGGAAACGCGCTCATTAACAGACTTTTCAACCAATTCGACCGCAACACACTAGAGAGATCAGCATTCAAATTGAAGGAGACGTTTGAATATGTCAAATCGTTACAAAAACAATTTGATTTCTCGTGTACCACAGTCTACAGGGCTCAGCTGGCATCACAAAAAGACTTGGAAATGATAAAAGACCAATCCAATTCTCTGCTCTGCATGGAAACATTTGTAATTGCTTCACAATCTTTGCAATCGATAACGGATATTTGTCGACGTGCAGCTACAAATGAACTCAAGATAATTCTCTTCGAGCTCAACTTGTCCGAGAGTGCGTATCCAGTGAAAGTTGATGAGAACTCTGTCGTTTTCAATTTGGGTACACTCTTTCGATTAGTCTCCTCTGATAGAACATCCGATGGTGTCTGGCATGCTCAACTAGAATTTGCCAATGATGTAATGCAACCTATTAAAAATCAACTTCGCTCTAAGATTGGTCACCGCCTCACGTGGTTGACCTTTGGCAGTTATTTAAATTCTCTTGACCCAAAGAATAAGATTGCAGAAGAATATTATCACTACCTGACAAATCTTGCATCTAAGGATTCCAGCTTACCGTCAATCTACAATAACATGGGCTTAATGTTCATGGCCAATGAAATGTATGAAAAGGCGTTGAAATTGTTTCATGAGGCATTGAATTCAACGTTTACGCCCTCATCACCAACAATAGAACAGCAGTATTCATCCACAATGGATCTATCATCTTCTTCAGATACACTGGCCGATGACCACAACATCTTAGTTAAAATGGCTGAAATCAGCTATATGCAAGGCGATTATACAACAGCAATCGCTTGTTATCAACAAGTGATTGATAACACTAGTGATCAAAAATTATTTGATTTTTGTCAAACCAGAATTAACTCTCTTTCTCATTTTTCTAATGCTTGATTATCTAAATAATAGATCAATTACTGCTGTGATTTTTCGTTTTCATTTTAGATTTTGTTTTCTTTCGATGTGAACAATGATTTTATAATATTTTGTTTCGTTCAATAAATCGCTGTTCAGTAAGTCATTGTTATATATTATAGCATTAGTCAGCTTGCGAATCGAACGGCGTGCTAAAATGGTGCGCAAAATTTCGACACCTATTGGACATAATATGGTTTGCATTGTCTTTCATGATGAAAAATTACTTACTTACCGCCGAAGACAACTAGAATTTCATCTTAAGGAAATATTTCCTTACATATGTGTTTTGTCAAATATTGGTGAATTTGCTCGGTATATTGGTCGTTCATTCATAGTGGACAAACTTGTATTTATTATTGGTACCAAAAAAGCTAAAGCATTGTGTGATTTAGTTTACAGTCGTAAGCACTGCCCAAAGGATCCATTTGTGTATGAGTTACAGTTTGGTACAGACCCATTTCAATCGTGTTTAGCTTTGGACAAAAAATTTCAATCGATAGATCGATTAATAGAAAAGATCTCTACTGATGTAAGAATTTACGTTGAAGATACTAATCGAGACCATCAACAGGTCAACGATGATGATGATGCTTCCAATGCTGAAAAAATTCATCAAGAATCAACGCTTTTATTTGGCATTCGTGATCGATTGAAACAACAACAATCGTTCTGTTACTTGAGTCGAGAATCACTCAAATTCGCCCTCTTCCAATCATTTATTGAAGCACTTTTAGAACTTGACATTGGTGACGAAGATCTGTCAAACATGTGGAGACATTGTCGTAGTTATTCAAGCTGTCAGAACAATATTACGCGCCTACAAGAAATTAATAGACTGAAAAACTCCTATACACAACAACAGGCTATTCGATTCTACACGGAAAATAGTTTTCTCTTTCGTATCGTTAACAAAGCATTGCGGTGTGAAGATATCGAAGAGGTGTTCGTATTTCGCCCTTTTATTAAACACTTGCATCAAAGACTATGCGACCTAGCTCAGCAACAGATGTCCAATGAAGTTGATCAACCACGCTTATTATATAGAGGTAAAAAGTTACCAATAAGCGTTTTACAACAACTCAAAGATAACATTCATCACCTCATATCGATTAATGGTTTTCTTTCAGCGACGAAGAATGAAAAAGTAGCTAAGATGTTTGCTGATCCCGAAAACCCTCGAGAAGGGTATAAAAGTGTAACTATTGAGTTGTGTATTGACGAGACAATGAAAAAAGATATAATCAACAAAAAGCAAACATATGCGGATATCTCTGAAGAAAGTTCTATTCCACATGAAGATGAAGTTCTCTTCTTTATGGGTTTTGTTTGGGCAATTCAATCGGTTGAACAAGAGCCAAACGAAAATACTTGGAAAGTTCAATTAAAACTGTCCATCGATACGAAATTTCCAAAAAATGATAAATATTGTCCAGATGACAATAAATACAGCTACTTCACATTGGGAAAGATCT